AGCCAGGATGGTCTGGATCTCCTGACCTCGTGATCCGCCCGTCTCGGCCTCCCAAAGTGCTGGGATTACAGGCTTGAGCCACCGCGCCCGGCCCCCAGGTGCAATTTCTAGAACCCTTGTCCCTAGTTCTATTAAACTAGAGACTGGTAAGTGCTGGGAATACAAAAACAAATTCCATTTGGTCTCTGCTTTCAAGAAACATATTTCTGGCTGGGCATGGTGGCTCACACCTATAATCCCAGCATTCTGGGTGGCCGAGGTGGGCAGATTGCTTGAGCCTAGGAGTTCCAAACCAGTCTGGGCAACATGGCAAAACCACTTCTCTGCAAAAAATACAAAAAATTAGCTGGGCATGGTGGTGTGGCACCTGTAGTCCTAGCTACTCAGGAGGCTGAGGTGGGAGGATCACTTGAGCCTGGAAGTCCAGGCTCTGCAGTAAGCCATGACCGTGCCACTGCACTGCAGCCTGGGTGACTGAGCAAGACCTTGTCTCAAATAAATAATAAATGAGCAGAGTAGGGGTGGATGTTGAAAAGACAAGGGAACAGGTGAATTTTGGAAATGGTGAGTGTAAAATCAACATTTCTGATCCTTTGGATAAAAGTCTTGTTACATTCCAACACAGCTTGAGTGAGTGGGAAGCATTAGGAGAGTCTTTGTACATTTTTTTTTTAAAGCATTTTATTTTCATTTCTTATTGCAGGCAACATTTCTAGGCATCTGACTCCTTGTGAGCAAGGAGAAAAGGTGGAGAAAGAGAGGGAGTACACAAAGCCAAGTTTCATTATGGTCTCTAACTTTAGAATTGACCTTAAAAAGGGAGACAGACATGTAAACTGATCACTGAAATGTCCAAAAATCAACTTATGATTCTCAGCATCTCCACTGTTTTTCTTTCCATTTTCCCTTTACCAGTAGCACTACCAAATACCTAGGTTTGTTCAATCCCCCATGAGGCAGTCGTCCTTGAATCCTTCCTTTCCCTTGCCCCTAACATCAAC